TCGCTCCCACACTCATGCACATCAATTTGTGCATGCCTTTAGTACATCTCAGCTCTTGCCCATGCTCTACTCATCCTGGCTTCATCCACCCCTCATCCAAACTAATTCCGCGCACATCCCTAGCCCATGTTAACCTCTATCCACCCTTCATCTCTCGTCACCTCTAACTACCCCTTTAGTCCCTACACTTGCACGTACAATTTCTATTCTCTCTTCTCTAAACATATTCTTTTAATCATCCATTTATTTCATTTCACTTTTATTTTGTCATCTTCTTATCCCGTTTTCTTCATTGGTTGCTTCCCTCATTGCCTAAACACTCGACTCGGGGTTGTCATGAGGTAATGTCTTAGGGGCTGCTACTCTAAGCACATTCTCGTACAATGACCTCGGGTCATAAGAGGCATTGCTCCTCTTGCACCCAGTTACTCAGGTTGGGGTCGTCCTAGGCCAGCTTTCTTAGAATCTTGACCCTCTCGCAACTATAATCACCATGTCGCACAGTGCTAGGGTTGTGAAGTGCTTCATTCTCTCTTTTCTTTCACTCTTTTATCTAAACCCCTTTAACACACAAAGTTGAGCCACTCATTCATAAAAAATGTGCATTAAAGAACAGCCCACTCTATATGAACTCCATTGGCAGTTTCTTGAAGTGAAATCCCTAGGTGAAGTGTTGAGTTTTCGAGAGGGGGCCATGTCCAAACTGAGCTGCTGGATAGCCGGATGGCTTTCGTGCGTTGATCTAAGAGGGCATTAGCCCGAGCTTATCTCACGAACTCAAACCGCAGCAAGGTAGGTGCTTCAGTTCATCTCTTCGGCACTTTTAAAATCCTCTCATAGTTGGACATACCTATTTGCAAGAGTGACGCTCGAGCCACGCAAGTGACACGTACAAGGTCACGCGGTTGTTAGAGAGGGGGTCCAATCCAATCCGACTCAGGCACCGACCACTGGGCAATTGGGACATTGGACCCCAGTCCAATATCATCCCACATTGCAGATATTTCTTCCAAATTATCATCAAGTACCCCAATTGGAACACCCTACCCATTAACTACTTCAACGTCAATTGCACCCTCTAAGTTTCCACCCTCTACGATCTCCCCATCTTGCCTATCTTCATCTACCTCGTCAACTAACAGTGGTTGCACCTCTATCAAATCATCACCAACAACTCTCTCACCAACAACTTCGCCGCTTGCCCGATCGCCATCCACAATAGGAAGCATACGTTCATCTTCTTGATCGTTCTCTACAACTGCCCCCCACAGCAATGGAGGCAAAAGCTTGTGATTGCTCTGCCCCAAAGGCATTGGAGGCGGCGAAAGCTCAACCTCGCCTTCTGAGTCACCGTCCTCCACCCTTGAAGAGAAGGTAAAGGACTCAACGGCCGAAAGCATTTGGATTGGTACAATATCATCCCCCACCCCTTCTTCGATGACCACAATCGGCATGCCTTGGTCTTCGGTTGTAACCCTCGGACCTCGTATCAGCCTCCTTCAACCAACCCTTCTAAAAGGCAATAACCTTTCTATGCTCCTCCACCAGGCAGCCGCAAGCAATGTGGCAATAATCTTGTGGAGTTTGAGTAGAAAGAACAAAACAACCACTACTTCCTTTAGAGAGAATGTCCTCTCTTTCTTTCTACCTCCAAAGGCATGTTTTCCAATAGCAGGTTCCTTTCCTTTGATACACCGAGAGACCTCCCTCACACTAGAAGTTAAACTACCAATGCAAACCAAGCCCCACAATTCAAGAAATGTATAAATGTTAACCCCACATGATACTTGGTTGATAGGGACAACTATGTCCCCAAAGGTGATCACCCCTCCACCCTTAGGAATAGGATTTACTTTCCCCATATCCCCCTTAATTGTCTCTTGAATGTCTATATCGCCTTAGTTAGCACTTCCAGCACCTCTTTTTTGGCTAATGGATCCACAACATGTCTTTGACGGGCTACTTGGTCATCTTTTTTTGAATTTACATAACCATCACCCACTTTGACCAGCATGTTTTTTGGAACCCAAATCTGTTAAGACTTGGGCGCCGCATCATATGCCACATTCCTTTTCAAATTACCGTTATTCCATCCACCATGTGTATAGCTATTCCACCTTTGCAGCTTGGTTGCCATTGTTCTCTGCAACACCTCCAGAACCCTGTTTCCCAAAGGCCTTACCTTCTCCCTCTTTCTGACCTCTCCTACGTATAGTTTTCCACTCTGGTACCATATCATCCCTAGAGTCATTATCAATCACTCTCAGTTTCACTTTCTCATCCTATTTGATACCATTTCTAAGACCTTCAATCTAAACTCGAATTAAAAATTCATCTCCTTGAACATATCATGTAATGGCTTTGATATTAGGAGAAAATGTATTCCTCATAATTCTTATCCAAACATAATCCATATCCCCATTGTTCAGACCCGTCTAGTCAATATAATAGAGTAAACCGAAGGTTCCCCTTCTAGCTTGAATCCCAATCCCCTATTGAGAGTAACACTTCTATTCTATAGCCTTCTATGGTGAAGCACTTCTATAGCTGTAGCTTTTTTTTACCTTTTTTTTTTTAGCTTAGCAGTAGAAATTGCCTTCTTCTTTGCTGCTACAACTGAAACGAAACCCTACTGAAGTACCAAGGGCGAACAACCCCTCTTCCAATCTTCAATGGAATACCGGCTGTTTTTTAATAATGTACCAAACAAATTCCTTCAAACCAAAGAGGTGGTTGCATAATTTATGGGCTAAGGTTAAGGTAGCCGAAGTAAGAATAGTGCAATTGTTCTTCACTAATATACCAAAGGCTTGCGATCGTCAGTAGCCTACAAATGAATGGCTAATTCAATAGCTAAAAAAGAGGCTAATACGGGTCTTCTTCTTTGGCTGTTACAGCGGAAACCTTCCCATCTTCATTCCTCTTTGGCTTTGAAGCTACATCTACCTTTCAATCAAAAGCAGTTACAGCTACCTTTCAATTATAGGCTGCTACAACGCGCAGTTGCTATTAACTTATTTACTTGAGACATAGGCATAGCCAGGATAGGGATAGGGATTTTTTAGCATAGGGCTAAAAAAAGCTCTATAAGTTGTAGTACCCGTTGCTATTACTTCCTCTTCGTTACCAAAAGGGTAGGGAGGCGGCTTTGAAGCTATAGAAAGCAAAAGGCTACTAGCTTTGCGACAGGAGCGTGCGTGTGGGCCCAAGCTCTATAGGAAATCAAATAGCATAGGCATAGCAGTGGCTACTCTTTTGCGCTAAGAGTTCTTTGATTGACAAGCTCCCCACATAAATTCTCAAGCTTTTGAAAAATATCAAATTCCAAACATGCAACGGGATACTAAATAGTCTAATCTAATAAAAAATTTACGAATTAAGAAAGAATGAACCAAAGAACTCTAAACTCTTATTGTTAAGAGATTACCTTGAACTCATCGTATTGGAATCTGCATAATTTATGAGGAACTTTGGTGGTACCTCAATCACGCATTCACAACATAATACAAGCGTGATGGTTTCCACGTAATTGAGATTGTTCTTGTTTTTCCCCATCACATGAGTATCCCTTACCAACAAATATACCATTTTTAATCAAGATGAGTTTGTTAGACCCAATGACCATTTAAGGCCCTTCTTGTTCAAGATATATCGTGAAACAAGGTTGCTTCTCATGTCAGGTACGTAGTATACATTTTATAAGGTGAGTACCTTGCCCAAACTCACCTTTAGATCCACCGTGCCCTTTCCAAGCATATTTGCTATAGCTTGGGTTCCAAGTTGAACTGAGTTGCTGTCACCTGCTGATTCGAAAGTTTTAAAAATGTCTCGATTGTTAGATACATGAATGGTAACACCAGTATTGACCTACCATCCATTGTCTTTATCGATTATGTTTACTTCGTATCGCGGATCCAAATCTTTATTCACTTATCCAAATTGACAATTCACCCACCCAGAACGGTTTCCCGGATGGCCAGTTCACCCGATAGATCCAGGTTTCAAAATACTAGACGATTGTGATAACTTCAATCACAAGTTCACTACTTAATATTGTTTTATCTGTTCTTTTTTTTACAAATCATTTTGATAAGCAATTAGGGGTGTGACTTTCTCCCATTAGGGCGTCCCTTTAAAAAAAATACGAAAAGAATGATATTCTAGATATAAAAAACCAAAATACGCCATACAAGCTACATGGCTTGGCATTTTGGATATTAATTTGTTTGCACCCTAATAGAGGGAGCATGCCCCAAAATTCATAAACAATTAGTTTATAGAAAAATAAAAAATAAATACTCTGAATTATTTGACCAAAATGAAATGGTAAGAAGCAAACTTCTATATCGTATCCATTATTCCAGATCAAATGGTTAGGAGAGAGGTGGTAAGAAGCTAACTTCTATATCGTATCCATTACTCCAGATCAAATGGTTAGGAGAGAGGTGGTAAGAAGCTAAATTCTGATATCATGACTGAAACTATCTATCATTCAGATCAAACGGCTACAATAGAGGTGACGTATTAGTTTTTCTACACCTATGGTTTCTCTCATAAATTACGTCACATTTTCCAAAATGAAAATTTGATCCATTGCCTAAACACATAAAAAGCAATTTAGTGATAAGAATCAATCACAACTTCCTCAATCCCCTATCCAGTTAGCAGAGAGTATTAAATACGGCTTTCCTATGGCCCTTGGGACAAGACTTCTCCTAGATTTGCCTCTTTTTCTCTCTCTCTCTCTCTCTCTCTCTCTCTCTCGTCGGTGGCGCGTCGTGTAGAGAGAGAGGAGGGTGGGTGGGTAGGGTAGGGGAAGGGAACGGACGACTACTAACTAACGTTACGACACGCTACTACTACGTAAGAACG